CAAGAAAGGTTTTCGATGGTACGTACCGATCCAAGCGCATTCCAAAGGTCTTTCATTTCAGCGTTCTTGAAAGCATATGTTTTTAGGTAATACTGGAATCGAAAGATTTGAATGTTCTTTAATACTATAACATTACCTCTGATGAGAGAATACAACGATGACTGTCGATCATCATGATGRCTGTTGACAATAATTACCTGCAATCCTTTCGTAAATTGATCACGACCAAGAAAACCAGACAACATCCTGATAATCGAAGAACCCTACAAACAAGGTACATTAACCCTTGCGCATGCACATCCTACATATCTTACATYATATCTACACCTTAAGTTTCTTTAACATCTAGCAATATTTACCTTACTGTAAGATATACGATCAAATATCTGTTTAATCTTCTTGGGGTGATCGACCTCCACCGATATTGGGTGTGACGTGGCCAGTGAATCAAGCGGGAAAACAAGCTGAAGATCTAGCAGCAAAAACTGCTCCATCTGGAAGAATGTTAATCGTTGATTCAAAGTCCACAATAAGCTGAAACGGATGTACAAACTCTTACCATTTCCCAGTCTGGATGGACATGATCCACGCCCAGGTACTCCACGTAACTTGCAAACCCTTCATTTAACCACAGGTCGTTCCACCAYTTTGGAGAAACTATGTTACCAAACCACTAAAAAAAACATTTGAAAACATTACAACTGTATGATTAMAACTCTTTCATACAAAAACACCGMCGAATTCCACAACAAGAGTACAGCGTTGCTTAGCAATCCATGTCATGTAACTACGCCGTTGTCATAGTGACTTGATCAATGTATTGTTGCCTAGCTTATTTGCAAATAAACGATTTGTTATCATGCAAACTGATTGGTTACAAAAGATGTGACATTTTCGACTAACCTGATGTGCTAACTCATGTGATATAACCGTGGCAACACTTTGTTTATTACTTTCTGATGAAACCCCAGGTTGATATAATAACCTGGTCKCTCTGAATGTAATTAGTCCCCAGTTCTCCATAGCACCGGACGAGAAGTCGGGAATGGCGATTAGGTCTAGACAAGAGTTGTTTCACAAGGAATCAATTTAGATTCTAATAACGTAATATGTATGCTTTTGTTGCTACTGACCTTGTTTAGGTAGTGGATAGTCTACTTTGTAATAACGCTCGAAGTATGTTATAATCTGGGATGCCACTGATAGTGCAAACTCTGCTTGATTGATTTGATCACGTGTTGTCCAGACACGAACCTACAACAACGACAACACAGAATTATCACAACT